GGGGGCGCCGCTGCCTTCCCCCCCCGGAGAGCCCATCTCGGGGATGGGCAGACCTCCCTTTAGTAAAACGTGGTTTTGTGAAAACGACCTCGGGCCAAAGCCTGGCGGGAGCAAGCCTGGAAAATGACGGCCGCGGCGCCCTCTCGAGAACCGAAAACGGACAATTCACTAATCGACGTGTCAGGGTAGGAGGTCTGTCCACCCCCGACCATCCTCCCCTCTCGCTGCCTGCACCTGGAGGGAAGGTATCCTGGCATTCCCGGCAGAAGATGGGGCCAGGATCAGGTCGGTTGGGTCCCCCTACAGGGGGGCTTTGGGGGGAAAAAGGAACAACAATACCCCAAATAATACTCCCAAGGTGCCCCAAAATACACTCAAGATAGTCCCCAGATTAGGTTTTGACTATAGGCCCGACTTCAGGCGAGGACAGATTGAGAATCTCTGAAATCTGGCGGCTCTGCCGGGGGATGTGTCTCGCCCGCCGCGGCCTGCTCATCGCGTTCCAGAACCTTCTGAGAGCGTCCCGGAACGCTCCGGATTTATCTAGAAGGCGGAAAACGGCATACATGTACACTTCCGACGCTCTGCTCGGATTTCTTGGATCTGCGCGGGACCTCCTCCCTGGCACGCGGAGCGCGCCAGGGGCGGCGGCGGAGGTGCCGCCAGGGGGGTCCAGCACAGATCCAAGAAATCCGCGTGGGGCGTCCAAAGTTTCTGTTCATACCGTGCTTCCTTCTTCGATGATCCTTGTCCTAGCCCCGTCCGAGCCTGTCCTCCGTCAGGAAACGACTCAGGACGAACAACAGGGTCCCGAGGAATGGGTCGAGTCCAGTGGTAAGACGAAGCCAGGACGAGGAAGGAATCGGGTGAGGACAAATCGAGAATTTCTGAGATCTGGCGGCTCGGGACGACGTCTCGGGCGCCGCGGCCTTCTCAGAGCGTTCTGGAACACTCTGAGAGCGTTCTGGAACGCTCTGGAACGGATGTATCCTCGTCCTATTCCCGTCCGGAAATGGTCACGAAGAATGGGTTGAGTCCTCTGTGGAGCCGCGGGGGAGCTCTGGTGCAACTGCTGCGAGGTCCGAAGTCTTCGTAAGAACGACTCAGGGCTACAAAGCCCGAATGCAAGGTGATGAGGCCATATTGGCCCGGGTTCAGCTCAGGACTGAGCCCGACTGAGCCAGATTCGCCTGGATTGAGGGATTCGGCTGGAGCAACTGGGGGTAAGAGGAACTAAGCAGGTTAAGCGGGGTTAATCCGAATTCTGCCTGATGTCGGCCACGGATACACTAGCGCCGATGCTGACTTTACCTTCACGGAGTTGCATCAGAAGAACCCCGTAAACCACAACGGGGGCTGGCGAAGCCCATGTTGTCGACGACCTCTCGGGAGGGGAGCTGCGTCCGATGGGTTTGGGCTCTCCAGCGGGGGTAAGGCCCACAGCTCACCCCAGTTGTGGCTGGTCTGGGAATAGCGCAACCAGCGTGTCCCACAAAATGAATAGAGGGCAAGACAGAAAACCAGACATCAAGGATCCCGGTAAGGGAGAGCCGTGGAGGAGGGAGGGGGAGGCGGAGGAGGGCAGCGGTGGGGCGGGGGTAAGAAGGGCGGAGGATGGGAGGGTGGATGGGGGGGAGGAGGAGCGCGAGAAGTAAGGAGACCCCAAAGATGTCCAGACCGCTGCTCCCCGAACCTCTCCTGGGGTGCCTCCTGAACGAAGTATCGAGGAGGAGGAGGAGGAGGAGGAGGAGGAGGAAGATGAGGAGGAGGAGGACTGGGAGGAGGGGCCGCCCAGAGGAGGCTCAACCAAAAGCGGAAAGCAAGGCACGGGCAGCGGTCTCGGTGCCTCCTCCTCGGAGGGCGAAGAGGGACACGAGGAGGGCGAGGGGGAGGAAAACGATAATAGAGCAGATTAAAGAGAACGATGCACATACACCGATGCTGGCCAGGCCCATCCTGAGCCCAGGATGGGCCTGGCCAAGACCGGCGCGTGTGCATAGTTCTCTTCGCCCGGTAAAGGGCAGAAACTCCCCCCCCAATAATAAACAGCCCGACGTGCGAAGCCGTTTAGCAAACGCACCCAGGGCAGGAATCGAACAGGGCAGGGCTGGTCAGTAAGCGCCCAGGGCCGTGTAGTCAACGTGAATTGTTCGATCTGTGTATTTTTTGCTCCCTTGATAGAATGACCAATGTCAAACTAAGACTCACCAGCGATGCTGGAATAGACGCTCCCTGCAGGCTCTTCGATCATAGGTCTATAACGATTTACTTCAACAGAGGGAGATATGCCCCGTAGGGAGGTGACCTTGAAAAAAAAACAAGTCCTGAAGCATGCCAAAAGACCACTCTCGGGACCTCAACGCCACGCATGAACGTGACTGTTGCGTCTTGACGACCCTGAATCGCACAAGAACGCTATTCCTGGGACTTCAACACCGCGAATACGCGTAACTGCTGCGCCCTGACAATCCTCTGAATCGTTCTACAACACAATTTCTTGTACGTTGGCCATGTGGAAAAGGAACGGAGCCTTTGTTGGACTCCATATTGTTCATGGGATTTCTGGGACAGGAGGGGGGGGGGAGGACGAGGAGCGCGAGAGGGGGCAAGGAGGCATGTGAGGAGGAGGAGGAGGAGAGGAGGAGGAGGAAGAGGACAAGCCCTTGAGGACAAGACACGGCTGTTCAATCAACGCTCAGGGCCGTTCCGTAAACGAGTGGTCGAGTCCTCCATTGACAAACAATGGCAGATCCTAAGTCAGGGAAGACGCTCGTGGACAAAAAAAAACATCCTCGAGATTCATGCTGCCCCCGACACCAAAAAAACGTGCAGGAGGTGGGGAAACGCAAAGGTACCAATACCGTTGCTCCACGGCCCTCTGGTGGGGTGCGTTCTGACTACAATTTCGAGGCCAATCCAGCCGTGACGACGAGGGCCTCCCAGGAGGCCGAACAGTGGGAAAACAATGGAACGGGTATGGGTTGAGGGGCAACGATAAGGGGGGGCTGGCATAGGGGGGGGCACATCGACTTAGAATCGGCGATACATCGCCGATAGATCGGCGAGAGGCCCCTGATGCTGAATCCGCGCGTGCCTGGACAGAGGTTGGGGCTATCGGGCCCCTATGGGCGATCAATGGGCGATTCGGGGCCGATGCATACCCCCCCTGAGCTTAGGTCGGGCATGTCCCCCTACAGGCGGATGTTTGACGAGAAATGGAAAATACCCCAAACATACTGCAAAATAACAAGAAAGAGTCGACAAAATCGTCCCCAGACTACTTTTTGACTATTTCTGAACATTCCTCCTATAGGAGGGACAGGCCCCACTTCACCCTAGGGGCGATCGATGTGCGACTCGGGGCCGCTGCGCCCCCCCCGGAGCCTACCCCTCCTCTCGTTGCCCCTGCTGGGCACCTTGTCCTCAGCAGGGGAGGGTCGGCGGCGACGAGAAGGGCGAATAGCCCAGGGGCGGGCATTACACGCATTCGCCAAATCATCAGCGCCCCTGGATACATGTTAGGGAACCGAGCTCTACACACCGACGCGTGTTCTGGGCCTGCCCTAAAACTTGCAAACATGAAAACGGATCCTGGTGTACATGGGATCCTGGTGTATACATGTCTCGTTGCTTCCCCAAGAAAACGGGGAAACAAGTATAAACCACACCACCCCGACGTCGTCCTCGACCCTCCAAAACTCCCGAGATTGAAAAATAACCCGTCACTGGTCATGCACAGGCTCCACTATCCGACATGCAATGCTCCCCCCATGGGCTATTCGCCCCTGTCGTCGCCTCTGAGGGGGGGGGCTCGGAAGCCGGGCAAGGGCTGCTAAATCCGTGGCTGCTAAAATCGACCTCCGGGAAGTTGTCTTCGTCCTTCCTGGAAGAAACCCGTTGACTGTTTCTCGTGCCGCGCCTCATTCCGTAAAGTTGTTTTTTCCTTCCGGGAGGGCCGTTTTAGCAGCCACGACGGTTTTAGCAGCCCTTGCCCAGCTTTCGAGGGACGGCGGGGCCCCAACCCGGGCCTATGTAGGCCTTGAGCGTCTGCAGGCAGGTCGCCAGCCTGCCCGGGTCCGCCTCCGCGAGGGGGGAGGGGCGGCACGACGAGGCGAGGCCGCACGAGGCCTTCCAAGGCTGCGTGCTCGTGGGCCGCCGCCGTCGTGGTCGCCTGCGTCTGCGTCCTCCGTGCTCGCCCTCGCCGTCGTCCACGTCTGCGTCGCCGTCGCCGCTCCCCAGTCCTCCTCCGACGACGGCGGCGAGGGCGCGCACGGCGACGACGTAGAGAACGCTGACGGCGGAGGGCAGGATGGCACGGTGAGCCCCAGGAGTGGGAGCCAGCGACATGGGGAGGAAGGAGGACTGCTGAAAGGCATGCCGATCCTGCAGTCGCCGTGCTGCCTGAAGAACGCTGGAGTAGGGAACGAAGGGTTGGCTTCTGGCCGCGGCAAGTCTCGGCCACGAATGGGCTACCCAGCCTCGACCTAACAAACGGCCCGAAATCCAAAGCCCTGCTTGGTCCCCAAGCGGTCGTCATCTCAATCTCTTGACTGTCCTGGCCGCCATCCACGCCCGCATGGTGCCAGCTGGCGTGGAACACCCTGCTCACAGCAGCGAAGAGACGCACCACAGCTCAGACCCACCGAAGTTCGTCAAGAGGATGGCGACACAGCCCGGGCCGTGAATGAAGGGAAGGATCAAACAGAGAACCAACCCCACCAGTGAGCCGCAGGATGGAGACGATAGATCCTTTCTCCAATCGCAAGGAGAACCAACGGTATGTCAACACCTTGGAGGCAGGGGCAGCGCAGGAGGAGAGGTGACAAGCGGGGGCCAAGTACACTAAGCCTACCACGATCCTCGCACGACGCACCGCCGCAGCAAAATCCCCGCGGCGCTGAGGGCCCTGAGAACCGGAGAAGGTGTGACCACAGAGGAATCCACCAAGTCCTGCAGAGCATATCAGCAGATGAAAATTGGATGACGGCGCCGGTCAGACAGTGCACGAGTGCCCTCTCGAAGCCGCTGGCATGAGGCCCTGAGGACAAGCGCCATGGTGACGTGGCCCGGGCTTTAGGTCGGATATGTCTCCCTAAAGGCCGATTGTGGGCTAAAAATTGAAAGTAGTTAACACATGCTCAAACATAGCAAAAAATAGTGGGAAGTTCGCCCCCATACTATTTTCAAGACTATTTTTGAACATTCCTCCTGTAAAGGGACATGCCCGACTTGACCCGAGCTCCGCGGCGCGTTCGAATGGGACGGCGTGCAGTACACCGACTGCTACCGCGGGGAGGGCACCTGAGAGCTCCCTGGGCAGCGCCGCCCGCAGCACTGGGGCTATCCTTAGGTCGTGACTGTCCCCCTACAGGCGGTTCTTGGGCGAAACATTAAAACTTGTCATACAATGCTCAAACATAATCAAAAAATACTGAAAAATAGTGCCCGTACTTTTTTTTTTTTTTTTTACTATTTTTGTATATTCCTCCTGCGCCCGACCTACGGCGATCCTGCTGATGCAAGCGCGCTTCTACGCGGGACTGCCTGGCCGTCCAAAGGTTGGCTGACGCGCTTGTGGGAAGGGTGCCGTCCCAATGCTCATTGCACTGACCTTGCAGACGTGCTGCAGCGGATTTCTGCGTGGATTCTTGCCCGAGCCGGCGAGCGAAAAACGAAGTGAACTTCGCGTGGATTCTTTTTTGTCTTCATTACTGGCCCCCCCAAAAAACCGCACGAAATTAATCTCGAAGTCCGGAACCCGAAACGAAATTCTCCAGGACACCCTGGGCCCACCCCATCGTTTTCCAAACGAAATCCGCTCTGCGATGCTGGCGCCATGACACGGCAGGTTTGGTGTCCGTTCCATGGGGGCCTGCCTGGCCCCCGGCGCTGTCCGATGTGGGCCTGATTTGGGCCGGATTTGGAACACATTTGGACCAGACTTTGGACCAGATTTAGACTGGATTCGCGGGGACTAGAAGAACGAGGAGAAGGAGGAGGGGGAACAGGAGGGGAGAGGAGGACCCGGAGGCTGGGCCAAATGTGGTCCCCACGCGGCCCAAATGCAGGAAGAGCTGATTTCAGCGTCGCCGCCTGAGGCTCCCAGGAACAGACATCGGGGGCAGGGGCTCCTGCGCAGCACAGCCTGCAAGGAGCCAGCCAGCGAACAGCGCTCGGACCCGTGGCGGGCGCACTCGGCGGAGCCAGCTCCGGATCGCCAGGCCCTGCTCGCCCGTACGAGTTCTGCGAAAGGCGCCCAGGTTGGACAGACCCTGGCGTCGCGACCGGTGTTTTTTTCGGGCTCGTCTGGCGGCCGCCCGAGACGATCCATCGGAGGTTCAGAGGTGTGGTCCTGAGGGATGGGGTCCTAAGGTTAGGTCGGGCATGTCCTCCTACAGGCGGGCGGTGGAAGAAACCTGAACAACAAACAGTGAAACATATTTAAAGAGCACGAAACATCGTCACCTGACTTTGTTGTGCTATTGATAAAAGTTTCTCCTGTAGAGGGACATGCCCGACTTAACCCTGAGGATAGGAAGGGATCCAAGGGTGGACTTGTACTTTTGCTGGCACCTCGTCCTCAGGTCCCATCCTTCAGGACCCCATCTTTGAACCACCGAATCCAGAACACCTCCGTCCGCCTCCCGGCGAATCGCAGCCGCTGGACAGCAAGATTCCTGAGGTCAGAACGCCTCCGGGAACCGACGAGAACCCTCGAAAAACTCGAACTTCGAAGCCCCTGGTGAGCGTCTTCTTATTTGGCGTTTCGACACTGGGCGGATGGGGGGGGGTGACGGGGGGGGTCTGGCTCCGGACCTCTGCTTAGTGCGACTGTTTGCTCCAGCGCGTCCTATGGGAGACGCTCCACCTGCTCGAAACAGGCGCCAAAAACAGCCAAGATCCACTCCATGGTCGGGAGCGGCCAAGAGGGGGGTGTCCAAGAGGGGGGGGGTGCAAATCATGACCGGCGGCATGTGCGCGGCCCAGCGGGGGGGCCAGGGACGTAATGAAACAAGAAGAGGCGCCATGAAATCTGGGGACATATCGTGGCCCCCGACATGATATCCCCCCCCCCTAGTCATCACCCCCCTCTTTTCTGTCCCCGACATGGGAGGGGGGGAGGGGGGGGGGGTCGAGGGCCCGCGCCGATCGGCAAAGCAAGGAATAAGAGAACGACCACCTGAGCCGACTGCGCTTGGTGAGTCGAGTGGGGGTGCTCCACCGCTGGCTGGCGCGCCCTCGCACGCCTCTCGGCCGAAGCGCAGCCGCTGGGCCGCAGGATTCCCCGAAGGCCGGAACAACGCGAAGAGCCGACGACAGCGCCCGCAGACATCGAACCTCGGAACTTCGCTGCCTTCTCTGAGGTGGACGGCTTCCCCAGGACCGTAGGCGACCCGAGGAGGGGAGGGCGAGGAGGGGGAGGAGGAGGAGGAGGAAGAGGAGGAGGAGGAGGGGGAGGGGGAGAAGGGGGAGAAGGGGGAGGAGGAGGAGGAGGGGGAGGGGAGGAGGAGGAGGAGGAGGAGGAGGAGGAGGAGGAGGAGGAGGAGGAGGAGGTGGAGGAGGACGGAGAAACCCTCCATTCCGAAGGAGCCAGGGTAGCTGCACTCCGTCGGCCACTCCACATGGCCGTGCGGCTGGGGATACTCCGGAACGGCGTCGTGTCGGAAGCAACTCGTGGTCGTGGAGACGGTCGACGTCGCCTCCGTCGCCGGGGTAAGACGAAGCCAGGACGAGGACAACATCGGGTGAGGGCACACCGAGAATCTCTGAGATCTGGCGGCTCTCTGGAGGATGCCTCGGGCGCCGCGGCCTTCCCAAAGCGCTCCCGCACGCCCCGGGAGCCTTCCGGAACGACGTCCTCCTCGTCCTGCCGAGGTTCCCGCCACGGCCGTGCGAGTGGTGGTGCGCGCGTCTGGGGACACCAAAGAGGTACCGATACCGCTGCGCCCCGGACCTCTCCTGGGGTGCTTTCTGACCAGGCTTTCGCAGCGAATCCAGCGGTGGCGACGGCGGAGGCCCAGGAGGCCCAAAAAGGGGAAAACGAGGGGAGGGTGGAGGGCCCAGAATCGAATCGACAAGTCGGATCGGCGATCGAAATGCGTCGGATCGGCGAAAGTCGGCAGCCGAGCCGGGAAAAGTCGAATCGGCGGAAATCGGCAGGCTTGCATGCGTCCCATAAGAAACCGGAGCCCAAATCGGAATCCAAAATCGAATCGGATCGGAGTCGGAATCCGTCGAAGTCGAGGTCGAACCGAATCGGAGGAATCGAAGCGAGCCCCCGTAGAGGTATGGGTGCCTCTTCCTCCACCGAGTGTCCGTGGTCGTCTCGCAGCCTGGCTCGCGCGCCCCCGCCCCGCGGTGCGGGCCTCCAGGTGGAGCCTGCGGAGGGCGACGAGGGCCTGCACCACCTGTGGGCGCCGCCCGCGCCCTGGCTCGTGGGCGAGCGTCCTCCCCATGCACTGTTTCCCCCAGGGCCGCAGGCGATCCGAGGATGAGGAGGAGAACGAGGAGGAAGAAGAGAAGGAGGAGGAGGAGGGGGAGGAGGGGGAGGATGGGGGAGGTGGAGGAGGAGGAGAGGAGGAGGAGGAGGAGGAGGAGAAGGAGGAGGAGGAGGAGGAGGAGGAGAGGAGGAGGAGGAGGAGGAGGAGGAGGAGGCAGGAGGAGGAGGAGAGGAGGAGGGGGAGGAGGGGGAGGGGAGGAGAGGATGAGGATGAGATGAGGATGAGGAGGAGGAGGAGGAGGAGGAGGAGGAGGAGGAGGAGGAGGAGGAGGGGGAGGGGAGGAGGAGGCGAGGAGAGGGGACGGGGGAGGCAGAGGGAGGGGAGGGGGAGGAGGAGATGGAGGAGGAGGAGGAGAGGAGGAGGAGGAGGAGGAGGAGGACGAGGACGAGGAGGAGGGGAGGAGGACGGGTAGCCTAAGCCCTTCGGAGAAACCCTCCACCACCCCCCCGAGCGTTAATTTTGTCTGGCTCGTCCCCGCTCGTTACCTGGGCGTGTTCCCTTGCCCTCCTCGTGCCATCCCCCTCTCTCTCTCTCTCCCTCCTCCGCCGCCCACTTCTCCTCCTCCTCCACCTGCCCTGCCCCTCCTCTCCTCCTCTCCTCCCTTCCCCTTCCCTGTGCCTCCTCCCGCTCCCTGGCTCCTCCTCCTCCTCCTCCTCCTCCTCATCCGCCTCCTCCTGCATCCTCCTTCATGTTCCCCGTCGCATCCTCTTTCCCCCCCCGCCTTCGCCGTCCACTTGTCGAATACGTCATTAATGGCCCCTCCCAGTCGCCCCCCCCAGACGTTTCGGTAGGGTGGGCTCGCCTGAGACTGATTCACCATGCGCGATTAAGGCGCATGGCATGTGCAACCGTTTCACGGATGGAAAGCGGGTCGCTCTCACAATGGAGTTCTCGCTTTAGCGCTGCGCACATGCGCCGCAAAAGTTAGCAGCAGCTTCACGGATGGAGGACGAGTGGTTTGATACATGCTGCTCTGGCGTTAGCGTCGCGCACATTCGTTTAACAATGTTTACGCTGTTTCACGAATGCAAGGGGGCGCCTTCGAAACGGTGATCCCGCCTGAGCGCCGCGCACATTCGCCACAACAATTGCAACATATTCACTGATGGAGGGCGGGTCCTTTGCATCAGATGGCGCTCGCATAACCGCCGCGCACATCCTTCACAACAACTCGAACCAGTGTCACGTGCTCTCGCCTTAGCGCCACGCATATTCGTCTCAAAAGCGTAAAACAACTTCAAGGGTGGGATGAGCGTCTTCAAGATGATGTTCTCGCCGTAGCGCCGCGCACATTCGTTTAAAACATCACACACGCTTCACTGACGGAGGACGGCTCCTTGTCAAAGTGAGAGTCTCGCCTTAGCTACGCGAGCATGTGTTTCAACATCTCGCAACAGCTCACAAAATCGCGCGTTCAAAATGGGGTTCTCGCCTCTTGACCACGGGCGGGGTGCTGTGATTCTTCGAAAACGGGATATCGCTGGACACCCCGCTGAACAGGCAGTAAGTTCAGTTTCCGCGGTCCTGGTTACGCGCCCGAAAGATGCAAGGCAATTCCTTGTCAAAGCGGGGCCCTTGCCAAAACGGCAGGCCCAATCGTGGTGGTAGTTCAAAGGAGTGCGTCTCGAAGTGTAAAAAATTGTCTTACAGGGGCATGAACGGAGGGGGCGTGGGACTGGAGGGTGTATTGCAGCATCGTGTATGCATCTTTGGTTAATATCGGTGCTTGTCCTCCTCCTCCTCCTCCTCCGTCTCCTCCTCCTTCTCCCCTCCCACATCATGTGCCGGTTCCTCCTCCTCTTCCTCCTCCACCTCTCTTACTGCGCCCTCTCCTTACATCATGACCCACAAAACTCACCAACACCATCATGGCATCATCGTCGTCATCATCATCACATACGTCATCACATCAACCATCTTCATCACGCATCGTCACCATCGCCATCGTCGTCGTGATCATCGTTACCATCACCATCATAAGCGCATGCCGATGATTATAAAGGACCCCCCTTTCCACGCTAGAGTTGATTATCCACGGCCAAGAAGAGTTTGGTCAGGGGCGCGGGGCGCGGAGGCCGATTCTTTTATCACTGTGAGCAGTTCACTATCGAGGTTAACTTCCTTCTTATGTTGAGATAGCAACATCAAGCGAAGCGAAGACGTTTTCGAGGATGTCTCACGCGAAACCAACAATTTTTGGAGGCAGTCTCAAGCGAAACGATCAACGTGTCAAGGATGTCTCAAGCGGAACCAACAATTATTCGAGGATGTCTCAAGCGAAATGAGAGACTTGTCGATGAGAGACTTCCTCCTCCTCCTCCTCCTCTCTCGCTTTCTTTTTGTTGTTTCTCTCTCTCTCTCTGTCTCTCTCTTTCTCTCTCTCTCTCTCTGTCTTTCTCCTTCTCCCCCTGGCCCCATGAACTTATTGTTATCGCTGTGGTTCACTATCCAGGGAAACCGAGGCGCATGAGGCACCCTACACGAGCAGATGAAATCTTGATGTCCTTTGTTTGCTTACACATTAAATGTAATAGGCTTGGAACTTTGGCGTTTCTCCTCCTCCCCCTCCTCCTCCTCCTCCTCCTCTTCTCTCCTTCTGTCTGTCAATATTTCTCGACTTCTCTCTCTCTCTCTAACTATATGTATATTTCTGTCTCTGTCTCTCTCTGTCTTTCTCTTTCTCCCCCTAGCACCCTGGACCACGATCTTGGATTTTCGACCCTCGGACCTCGATCCTCGATCCTCGGACCTCGCCGCCGTCGATCCTCGGACCTCGATCCTCGACTCTGGGATCTCGATCCTCGATCCTCGGACTTCGATCCTCGATCCTCGATCCTCGGCTTTCGGTCCTCTTAACATCATCTCTTTTTCCTCCCACATGCTGGCCTCCGGTGGGCAACATTTATAATCCCCCCGCGACCCCGAACTTTATTATCCCTGTGGGATTATTCTCCGTGGTACACGGTTAATCATCACCAGCATCATCAACATCATCGCCATCGCCATCGTCATCGTCATCACCACCATCATCATCATCACCATCCTCATCATCACCATCCCCATCGTACCATCATTGCGATCACCATCCTCATTGTGCTTCTCTCTTGCCTCCCTCCTCCATATGTCAATGTTTCTCGTTGGCTGTTCGTGGGCTTCTGGGGGCACTCGCGGAGCCCCGCGAGGCCGTCCAGAAAGAACGACCCGTGATGCGAAGCCGGCCGGCTCTGGGGAATGGGGTTCATCCTCCTCTTTCTCCTCCTCCTCCTCCTCCTCCTCCTCCTCTTCGTCCTCGTGTAACACTGTAACACTGCATGCACCCGGTCGTGCAAGCACAATCGTGGACCCTCATTCCTCAATGAATATCACGAACATACCGAATACGATGTACTTGCACTAGCAAGGCAGTCCGGCGGTACCAGGAAACACCAAAGCCACATACAATACCAACACTGGAGACGCACCCCCCTACTCCTCCTCCTCCTCCTCCTCCTCCTCCTCCTCCTCCTCGTCCTCGTCCTCGTCCTCTTCCTCCTCCTCGGGTCGGGTCTAAAAAGTCAAAACCTCCTCCCCGGGACCGGCTTCTCATCCTGAACCATGTTTTGACGGTCCCCAGGGCCAGGCGAGCGCCCCCAGAGGCCAGAAATACATTCGGAGCGTTGACCTAAGGAACCATAATACGGAGCGAGGCCCCTTTTTCCCATGAGTTCGACTTCCCACGGAAAACCCAAGGAAAACTGTAAAACAATCAAGGAACACCGAGCCCCTCCCCCCCAACAAAAAGGGTTCCTTCTTCAGCACCCCGACTGTACACACAAACCTCCCGCCGATTCTTCGTCCACGACGCAAGCCCTGAGATCCGACGTTGTGAAAACTACAGCAACGTAACGAACAAAAAACACAGCCCGAACCCTAGACCCAATCTTCCCGTGGCATTTCTCACATCGGATCGGTCCTTGAGGGCCCCAGGGTGCGAATACGGGCAATGTGACAAAAATTGCAACGCCTGGATCTCAGGAGATATTCGATTTGAAAAAGTCACGACGTCCTCCGGTATTGGATCCGTCGCACTTTGGGCGATTTCGTAAAGGGCGGATTTGCCCGCCTTACTTTTAAATCTCCTTTGATGCCAATTCGATTTCCGCCCTACTTTGCCGTCGCTGCTTCCGCCATACCTTGGCGCAAATATCCGCCCTACTGTTCTGCAGGGGCAATTTCCGCCCTGCTTTTTACAACCCTTCGGTGTGAATGATACCCCAGAAATGCCCCCCAAAGGGCAACAAATATTCAAAAAATAATCCCCAGACTATTTTTGGATTATTTTGTGACTATGTTTGGGGTATTTTTTATTTTTCGTCGAAAATCCCCCTGTAAGGGGACAGGCCCGACTTAACCCTGGCTCTGGGCCCGCCGTCTTGTGGTGAATTCTCCGGTTTCAGAATGTCGGGGGCCCCCAGCCGGTGTGGTTCGGGCCGGACGAAACGGGGGGGATTGGGAAAGGGGGGGTTACGAAATCTGCTGCCCGCAGCTGGTTTCGGCCCCACCGAGGGGCCCATTCCTCGATGCATAGCCAGGGAACTCAGCTACGCGAGCTGATTCTCAAACCCTCCCTTTGCTATCCCCCCCTTTCGCCCGACCCGAGCGGTGGCCGCACCGCGCAGTGAGTCAGGGGGCATTCGGGGTCACCGCACGGTTTAGGGACTCGGGCCCTCCTCCGAGGATGTCTCGGGCCGGCCGGGACCTCCAAGGTCCCAAGACTGTGCGGTGGCGGACCGCGTGGTGAGGTCACTGGGGATTCCCCGCCCGCCGGCCCTGGGGGGGAGGCACCCCTGCCCGGGAGAGGCTCTCGGCTCCAGAGCGTCAGCGTCGTCGCCGTCGTCCTCATCGTCGTCGCCGCCGTCGTCCCCCTTCGGGGTCGGCGGCACTGGCCCTGAGGCCTTCGCACTCCCCAGGAGCACGGTGGACCCAAGTGACTTGATGCGTGAACTCATCGAGGTCCAGACGACTTCCCTAGGACTCGTTTATCGTCCGGAGTCGCTCTGTTCTGTGACGGTCCCGGGGCCCGTTGAGGCCCCTTGCGGCCGAAAACGGCAACAAGCCAGCCGCTCCACTGTTTCCTGGCGGGACCCAGAAGACTGCATAACCATAAACTGTCCGAAGTCCACGCGGATGCCTTGGATCTGCGCCGGAGCCCCATCCCTGGCGCGAGGAGCGTGCCGTTGGCGGCGCCAGAAGCGCCGCCAGGGGGGCCAGTCGCCAATCCGAGAGATCCGCGCGGAGCTCCAACAGTTTATGCTTATGCAGTTTGCTTCTTCTTCAAGAACCTCGGATCTCTGGGAAGTACAGTCGGGCCGCTGAAATAATCGGGGGCGGCCAAGAGGGGGGTGTCCAAGAGGGGGCGGCGCAAATCATCGACGGCGGCACGTGCGCGGCCCAGGGGGGGGGGCCAGGCCCGTATTGAAGCAAGAAGAGGGGCCATGAGATCTGGGGAGATACCATGGCCCACGCCATGACATCCACCCCCCCTAGTCATCACCCCCTCTTTGCCGCCCTCGGCGGTGGACAAACCTCCCTTTAGTAGACCACCCTTTAGTGACAACGGCCTAAGACCGAAACCGACGGACCTGGACCCGCAAAAACGACGGCCGCGACGCCCTCTGGCGAACCGAAAACGGCTAATTCGCTAATCGACGTGTCAGGGTAGGAGGTCTATCAACCTCCGACGCCCGGATCCTGGTGTATACGGGATCCTGGTGTATACATGTTGCGCTGTTTCCCCGTGGAAACGGGGAAACAAGTATACACCATACCACCCCGACGTCGTCCCCGACCCTCAAAACATCCTGGGATTGAACAACAGCCCGCCACTGGTAATGTATACGTTCCAGTTTCCCCTCTCTGCCGCCCCCGAAATAAGTCGGGGATCTTCTGACCCGGGTCAATCCATACCCGGGTCAGCAAGAAACCAGAAACTGCAATGCAGGAACAAAAAGCTGCAACGCAGGTCTTCGCAAACCCGGGTCAGCCAATAGGCGCGGCCGCCTCGCGGCCACGAGCGGCTCGCTAACCCGGGTCAGCCAGAGGGGGTCTCGGCAGGATCCTGCAGGATCTGGTGCCCTGGGTGACCCCCGTTTGCATTGACCCCCGTCTCGAGGCTCCCGAGTGAGGAACGCCAAATCAGCGCCGAGGCCCGTTTCTGGAGCCCACGGCGCCTGGGGCACGAGGAGGGGGGCAAGAGGCACAGCCACGGGAGAGCCCCAGGGGAACAGCGGGCCCCTTCCGACGCCCCTCTGCTCCTCGCTCCGGCGTCTTGGCTGAAGGGGCCCTGGGACACACGAATAAATACACACAAAGAACAGGAGTCGCCATGCTTCCATATATTGTCTGGGTTTTGGTCTTCCCCCACACTTCCCATGTTTTCCCATATTTTCTGGGAATCGACGATTAATTGTGTCTGTGTTTTTGTTCCCCCTTCTTGACTGCAACACGTCGTTGGAGTTGAAGATGGCAGGCGTCCACTGGCCTGGGCATCCTCGGCCGAAGGCCGAGAAAAGTGGCAGGTGGCGAGGATAGAAACCGGCCAGACATCGCCTGGGGCCACTCTGGGCAAGGGCCAGAGACAGACGGTGGGACGACCCCACAAGCGAATTTCAACACAAACTCAACCTGACTCCGCGGCTGGCGGCGGGGGGGTCAGGAGGCAACTACCGGGAGGTCTTCCTCGGAAAGAGGATTAAGCCCCATTGGGGGGCTCTTACGCCGGAGTGGGCCTCGGATTAAGCGGGAATACGCCGGATTAAGCGGGATTAAGCGGGATCAAGCCGGATTAAGCTAGATCAAGCCGGTTTAAGCTGGGTTTCGGACCAGGGCACAATCAGAACTTGACCTCCCAGGAGTTGCATCCGAAGAGGGGGAGATGAGGAGGAGAAAGTCTTCTCGGCAGGCGGCGGGACTTCGCGGCAACGCGCCGGCCTCCTTCTCAGAAATTTCCCGCGTGCCATCGGGGGAGGCTCAGAGAACTGCTCGGAAGGCGGGGGGACCTCCGAGCCTTCTGGGAAGGCCCGCCCGTTCTCGCTTCCCCTAGGTCGGGCATGTCCCCCATACAGGGAGACTTTAAACGAAAACAAAGCAATACCCCAAACAAAACTCCAAAATGGTCAAAGATAGTCCCAAACATCGTCCCCAAAGTATGTTTGGACTCTTCTTGAAAATTCCTCTTGTGGAGAGACAGGCCCGCCTTAACGCTGCCCCCCCCCTGGCTCGCCGCCGGCTGACCCACGCACGGCTCCGAGTTTGGGACGTCGGGGATCTTCTGACCTGGGTCAATCCAGACCCAGGTCAGCAAGAAACCAAAAAACTGGAATGCAGGAACAAAGAAGCCGCAACGCAAGTCTTCGCAAACCCGGGTCAGCCAAGAGGCGCGGCCCGCGGCGCGGCGACGAGGCGGGGGGGGGGGGGGGAATACCCCCGCATGGCGATCCCATGGCTTATGTTGCCCCCGTCGTACTTAAGGACCACATCCCAGAACTAATTTCGAGCGCCCGGAAAGGTATCGAAACAGAGTCGAACCAGTGTCGGACGAGTGTCTCCCAGGGCCCGATCGCGTGAAAACCATTGAGCTTCGGTACTTTTCGGGGGGGCTCGAAATTCCTTCTCGTGATCAAGGCTAAAGTAGGTTGGAACATCGCATCCCATGGCCAGATGCCCAGGACCGGGACAAAAATGCGCACGTCCGAGCGCCGCGGCGCGGCGACGAGGCGGGGGGGGGTCCACCCACGCTTATTCAGAAGCCCAGAGTATGAGGCTGACCCCCGTCGAGGGGGTACCCCCCACGCTCTCTAAGATGCCCAGATTATGAGGTTGACCCCCGTCGGGGGGGTACCCCCCGCGCTCATCAAGAAGCCCAGAGTGTGCTTCTCGCATGGCGACCCCATGGCCAGCTGCCCAGGGCCCGCACAACAATGCGCGCGTCCGAGCGACGCCCGCGGGCCGCCGCCGCGGGGCGGGGCGGCCTCGTCGGCGTCCCTCTCGGGCGGGGCCTCCGCCTGCGCCCGCGGCGGGGGGGGGGGTGCGGAGGGGCTGCAGGAGAGCTGCTGCCGCTGTAGGGCGAAGAGATCTATACTCTCCTCCTCCTCCTGCTCCTCCTGCTCCTCCTGCTCCTCCTGCTCCTCCTGCTCCTCCTCCTCCTCCTGCCCCTCCTCCTCCTGCTGCTCCTCCTCCTCCTCCTCATCCTCCTCCTCCTCCTCCTGCTCCTCCTCCTCCTGCTCCTCCTCCTCCTCCTCCTCCGCCTCCTCCTCCTCCTCATGCTCCTCCTGCTGCTTTTCCTCCTCCTCTTCCGGGGGGGGACGCCGGCGGCGGGCAAGGGGGTGGGGGGGAGCGAGAGGGAGAAGGCCCTCTCAAAGGCGGCGGGGCCTCTCAGAAGCCCTCACGCCTTCTGAGAAGTTGGTGACGTCTTCGGGGAAGGCTTAGGCAACTTCCGAGAATGCCCTGCGACTTACGAGCCTTCCCGCCCGCCCCTTCTCACTCCCCCCCCGGGCTCGCCGCCGATCTCTCTCTCTCTCTCTCTCTATATATATACATCCGCTGCTCCTGGCCATTTCCATCTCGGGCCTAAGAGCAGTGCAAAATGGGAGGTATAATAAACACTGCTCCTGGGTCCAGGATGTGCCAGGCCAGGGGCAGTGGATAGGTATAGTTTCCGTCGCCCCATGCTAAACAACAGAAATGCCCCTGAGTCTTCGGAAGGGGACCCCAGTTAGGAGGGCCAGGAACATGAGGGATGGGGGGTCTGTTTTGCAAATGTCTCAGACGAAACACCACCCACGTGTTTAGGGATAACCCTACTTAGACATCTGGCTGCTCCAGCTGTTCGACGCATAGGCCCCACAGGTCTGGACCACTCCCCTAGAGCAGGCTTTTTGGTTCTGAATCGCATCGGCGACGTCGGCGCGGCGGAAATCGGGCTCCACGTCGAGACGCATCGCCGATGCACCGGCGATGCGGCTTGGTCAACGGAGGAACAGGAGGAGAGGAGAAGGAGGAGGAGGAGGGGCAGGAGGAAGAGGAGGAGGGCCTCGGGGGAGGAAGGGAGCTGGGGGAGGAGGAGGAGGAGGAGGAGGAGGAGGAGGAGGAGGAGGACGAGGAGGGGGATCAGAAGGAGGAGGGGAGGAGGGTACGTACGAGGAGGAGTACGTAGGAGGAGGAGGAGGAGGAGAGGAGGAGGGAGGAGGAGGAGGAGGAGGAGGAGGGAGGAAGGAGGAGGAGGAGAGGAGGAGGAGGAGGAGGGGGGGGGAAGTGGAGGCGTCGACTGACGTCCGTCTCAGGGCTCCCGGAGGCAGGTGCGCGGCGCGCGCCCGTGGCCTGGCGGCGCTCCGCCTCGCGGCGCTCCGCCTCGCGGCGCTCCGCCTTCGCCCGGGGGTGCGGCCGCCGGCCGAGGGTTCGCGCAGGCCGCTTTCGCGCGCCCCGGCGGCAGCAGCTGCCCCTCCTGCTGGCTCAGCTGGCGGCCTTGCGCAGCTCAGCTCGGCCACGAGGGCGAATAATGCATACATACATACATACATATATATAATATATACACCTATGCATGTACATTTTTATATATGTATATATACATATATCGATATTTGTGTACGCGTGTACACATGGCAATGCATGTACAGGTGAAACTGTATTTGCATAACCGTATTTGCATATATGTGCGCGTGCATATAAATATGCGTGTGAATATATATATATATATATATATACATATACATAAATACATTATATATATGCACGATAGATTCAGCCATGGCGACGACGTGACGTTCCGGCTTTCTGCGCTCTGTGATGCAACAGCGTCGCGCACCCAAATGATGCGACGGCGCCACGCGCCTTGTAGGTGCCCTCACCTCCGTCGTGCCTCCCAGGAACCCACGAACGTGGCGACGGTTGCGCAGCTCGCAGCCCCCAAGGGAGCCGCCAGGTCTCACATGATCTGCGCTGCCCTCACCTCCGCCGTGCCTCCCAGGAGCCCACGAAAACGGTGACGGTTGCGCAGCTCGCAGCTTCCCAGGGAGCCGCGAGGTCTCAAAGTGATCTGCGCTGGCCTCACCTCCATCGTGCTCTCCCAGGAGCCTACGACAGCGGCGACGGCTGCGCAACCCGCAGCCACCCACGGGGCCGCGAGGTCTCGACGTGATCTGCGCTGCCCTCCACTCTGCTGGACCTCCCAGGAACCCACGAAGGTGGCAACAATTGCGCAGTTCGCAACCACCTGGGGAACCGCGAGATCTCGTCCTCCGACCTCCTTCCCCTCAATTCTCGTCCCCGACATCATTTCGGAAGCTGGGCAAGGGCTGCTAAATCCGTGGCTGCTAAAATCGACCTCTGGGAAAATGTCTGCGTCCTTCGGGAAAAACGCCCGTTGACTGTTTCGCGTGCCGCGCCTCATTCCGGCAAGTTGTTTTCTCCTTCCGGGAGGGCCGTTTTAGCAGCCACGGTTCTAGCAGCCCTCGCCCAGCTTTCGATCCTGTTCCTCGCCGTGCTCTCAACTTCGATGCCAATGCCACGCAGCACGTTCCAGCGAGCAGCGGCAACCACCGGGCAGAAGCAGGAGCACGCGGCCGACGCCCCCCCCGTCGGCCTCGGCGGCAACCCCCTTGCTTTTGGAATGTTGGAGGCCCGGCCTTCTATTCGGGCCGGTCGAAAGAGGGGGATAGCAACGGGGGGGGTGAGAATTAGCTCACGTAGCTGATTTTCCCGGCGCCTCCCGGCGCCGGAGGCGGCTATGTATCGAGGAATGGGCCCCTCGGTGGGGCCGACACCAGCTGCATGCAGCAGCTTTCGTAACCCCCCCTTTCCCTATCCTCCTTTTCGTTCGGCCCGATATACGCAGAATAAGGCGCCAGCGCCTTTACCTTTTTCCCGATCCTTCTCCTCGCCCGCGTCCTACCCCTCTGGGCGGACCAGCACCTGCCGACATCGTAACTCCCCAGATCTCTCCCAGAGTACGTTCTGACCAGAATTTCGGAGAGAATCCAGCGGTGGCGACGAGAATCCGGGCAGGATCAGGCAGAATCGAATGGGCAACTCGGATCGAATCAAGATGTGAATCGGGCTGCATCGGCACGGAATCGCAATCGAATCGGATCGGCTGCGCCAAGATGCACAACAACGCAATGCGCGGGCCTCATCAGAGCGTCAGAATATCAGAATCCACTCGGATCGACCTAGCTGGAAACCGCGTCGCATCGGAGCGATCGGATAGAAATTAACCATGCCTTAGGTTGGGCATGTCCTCTAACAGGCGGATTTTGGGCGAACATTGGAAATAGTGATAAACAACAAAAAAACCCAAAACAATAACCAAACATAGTAAAACAAGTGTCCCCTGACTATTGTTGTACCATCTTTGACTCTTCCTCCTGTAGAGGGGCAGGCCCGACGTGAACCTTGCCAAGGGGAGCAGCGGCATCGGTACTCCAGATTCCGCAAACAAAACAGGGCTGGTCTGATTCTGGTCATGCTTCGTTTTCTATTATTGCTCCTCTGGATGTCATGTTCTATATTTTTTTGCGCTCACTAAACATTGCGCAATTACAGAGTCTCATGCATTTCCATTTGGCTCCTTTGCAATGCCGCAAAGATTTTGGCATGGGGGGGTCTGATTGGAGCTGTCCTGGAGGTTTCCAGGGGGGTCTGGGCCAAAGGCTGCAGATTCTTGGCCAGTCTGGGAAGGTCCCAAATTAGGTCGGGCATGTCCCCCTGCAGGCGGATTGCGGACGAACCATGTATAAGGAACAATCAAAACATGCTCACACATAGTCAAGAAAAGTCCAAACATCATCCCCAGACTATTGTTGGACAATTTTGATTGAATACTCCCCCTGTAGAGGGACGTGCCCGACGTAAGTCTAAAATGGCCCGTCTGGGATTTTGACCCCCTCCCATTCATCACCAAATATAAAGAATACCTCTTACTGCTCTGACCGTCCCCTTCCTCCCCCCGTCATGTTCCCCACCCTCGGCGCCGACCACGCCGGCGGGAGTCGCTGAGGGATCGCCCCCCGCGATTGGAGCAGGCACCGACCGTCCTGACATTCCTATAGGCCTACCACGACGTGTTCTCAGAACAAAAAACAAAAAAACAGCGCTACAGATTCGACCGTGGACCCTTTCTTGCCCATCTGCCTCGGGCGGTCTTCGACGATCTTCCGGCGGCTTCGGCGGTGTCAGGCGGTCCTCGGCGGTTTGCCGCGGTCTTCTTCGTGCAAATCACAACATGTTCAAAGGACATTAATTGGTACTGATGGGCCTTGAACCCAAGTTCTCTATTCGTGATGACGCCCGTGACCGGCCCCGCCTCCCCCCCCTTCCCCCTGGTCACGTCAAGATTCGCGCTGGCGCCGTCTGGGAACGAACCACTCTCAGGCGATCCCAGACGGCGCTGGCGAGAGAATCGTGACGTGACCGGACCCCTCCCCCCCCTCACCCCCACCCACCCCCGTCACGCCCGTCATCTCTAGGCGATACGATAGCGGGCTTCTTCTCCTCCTCTGACCCTCCTTGGAGGCTCGTTCTGGGGACTCTTGCTGGAGCAAGTCGCTTCTCTCATGCGCCGATGCTACGTCGAGCGTCCGTCGACTTGACTAGAACTTCGGTCGAACTTGAGTCGAGCTGGTATCGAAACAGACTCGAAGAGAACAAACAAGTGGCCCCCGAAAAATATCCCAAACGAACATCACACCCTCCTCTCCCCCCCACCCCCTGGGAAAACCATATGGTATCTCTACCGCTACTCCCCAGACATCTCTCCGCTGACTAGAATTTCAAGGCAAATCCAGCCGTGGTGACGAGAGCCTCCCAGGAGGCCCACAAAAGCGAAAACGAAGGAATAGTAGCGGATGCGTACGGATGGGTACCCTTTCCTCCTCTGACTGTAAGGTCCTTGTCTTCACCCCCCGGAAAGTCCCGATCCTTTCCCCAAGACGCGTTTTTCACACTGAGTAATTTTTAAATGGCCCCAGGGCCCTGCGAGGGTCTCCAAAGAGGCCGAAAATGGCCAAAAACCTTCCGTCGTGCTTTTTTGCACGACGCGATCTTTGAGCAGGGACCGACCGTCCCGATTCCTCTCGACATGTTTTCAGAACCCCCGAAAAGTTCAAAGAACAAACGCAGTGTTCTTAGATCATAATCCCGATGCATTAAAACAAGGCGGCCGAAACCATAACTGTTCTGAGAACCTCCCGTGCAATCCACACAAAAGTTCTTGGAACAATATGTGGTCCTGTAGCCAAACCAGGACACTTCGCCACTGCTTGAGATCGTCTTCAATCCCCATGCCCACACCCCCGACGTCGTGTTTTTTTCACAGCGTCGTCCCCCAAAAGTCTGGACCCCCTCCCCGGGACCGGTTTTTCATCCTAAGTGGTTTTGACGGCCCCGATGCCACGCGAGGGTCCCCAAAGGCCGAAAATGGCGAAAACTCTCCGTCGTGTTTTTCCACGACGCGAGGTGGTCTGGGCGCAGGTCCTTCTCTGACCCTCGCCCCGTTTCCCGCCCCCGGCGACGGTCGCGCTGGCGGGCACGAGGGAGGAGCCCGGGGGCGACGACGACGATCAGGTCGGGCATGTCCTCCTACAGGCGGATTTTGGACGAAACGTCAAAACCGTCAAAACATATCCCACATACTCCACAATAGTCAAAACAGGCGAGGCCAGGAAAGGAGTGAATGAGGGGCAGCGGCGGGGTGGAAGAGGAGGAGGGGACAGGGCCCGACGAAGGGGCGCTGACTTAAGACGCCGACGACGATGATGACGTTGACGACGAGGACGACGACGACGAGGACGACGAAGACGACGACGACGCCGACGCCGACGCCGACGCCGACGCACACCGCTGCCGCCAGAGGGGGGGAGCACGAGGGCCTGCAGCTGCTCGGCCTCCCGCTTCTCCTCCGCCTTGTGCCGGCGCCCGGTGGCAGGATCCGGCCAACATCGGATCGAGCAGGGATGGCCCTAAACGCTGTGCTTCGTTTTGTTATCGTGTTTTCGTCGTGCTGCTCTACCTGTCTTCCTGTCCCTCCCTCCCAGAATGAAAAGCAGGGCACAGCCAGAGTCCAGCAAAACAGCGCTTGGGTCCAGCCCTGGAGTCGAGACGTCGGCTCTCGAATCGGATGGAAGAATAAACAACGCGATAAGCCTAAACTGTTGGCGCTCTGCGCGGATTTCTTGGATCTGCGCTGGACCCCCCTCCCTGGCGCGCGGAGCGCGCCAGGGGCGGCGCCTGAGGCGCCGCCGGGGGGCCCATCGCGGATGGCATGGTTGAAAATTCGCGACATGTACGCCCGAAGTGGGTACGGAAAAAATGGGTAGAATGTCTTAGAATACCCAACAACAAATGTTATCCAAAAACCGACAGCGGCCGCTGGAGGGCAGGCGGAATTCGCCTTCAATGGGCAACGTCCGCGGCGGCGCGAACAGCGAGCCCTGTTCAAAATGAACAGGAACTACTGTTGGGCATTGCACCCATCCTTTCCGTATCCATTCCGTTCGTGCCGATGAAACCTGCAAGCCCCAACTAAAGCCCGTGGCAGATGATTCGCGATAACGCCCGTGACCGGCCCCGCTCCCCCTCCCCCACTGGTCACGTCAGGATTCGCGCCGGCGCCGTGTGGGAATCAGCCACTCTTGACGGCGCGCACAAGGGGTAGGGGGAGGGGGTAAGGCTTCTTACAACGAAGCTGCTTCTTAGAAGGCGCCGGCATTACGTCCACAGATAAGGCGGCGCCTTCTTAGAAACAGGGGGGTTCTAAGAAGCCTTCCCCCCTTCCCCTGCCCCCCGTCTGCGAGAGGCGGACATTCCGAAGCATGCCCAGGCTGCGCCAGCGCGAATCGTAACGTGACCAGCCCCCTCCCCCCCTCCAAATCCCGGCCAGGCCCGCTATCGCAAGGGGATCAAACATGGGCGTCTCGTCAAGTTGGGAAGAGGAAAGGAGGAGGGGAACGGGGAGGAGGAGGAGGAGGAGGAGGAGGAGGAGGAGGAGGAGGAGGAGAAC